TAGCTGCTAGGAAATACTGTGAATAACCTTGGCCTTTCTCCTCTTTTACTCTCATCATATGATTCCAATTAAGATACACGATGGACATTTAAGCAGCCTGCCATATGATCCAACATCCCATTCACTACTAACACGAGATTAGGGATCATCCATCACTGTTTAGATGGTATGTGCATTTTAGCCACTACAGAGAAACACTTCTGGTTATGGGATAGCAAAGGAGCTGGAAGGTCATTAAAAAAGAGGAGCATGGCCTCATTAACTCTTTGGGCAAATCAAATTTTGTCTGCAGATCATAGGATTAACTTACAAGAATACTACATGATAAGCTTCCTCAGTCAACTCATTGAAACAAAATCAGTAACAATTAAGTTCATGATAGGTTTATACAACAAAGCTACTCTTTCCACAGAGCATCTCAGTTTGTTTTGTACAAAACAATACAACAACAAAATAGGCCTGCATAAGGTGCAGGATTTCAGCACCAGGGCTATTCACCCCAGATCAGAACTCATTTTAGATTGTAGAAAGTTAACTTGAGTACTTGCACCATTCTGGGGACATACTTCAGAACAATTGCTCAATTCTCCTTGATTTTTTTCCTTCTGAAATGAGAGTTATAGAGCAAAGAATTAGTTAATGTGAATTCAATCCTCTAAAATAGTTGCAACAAAATTTTGCCATTAATTCCTGATATTTAGAATATGTATGTATAGTTTGAGGTTCTAAAAACGAGCAAGAAAAATCTCACCTAAAAACACAGACCTAGATTAAACATTGTTTATTTCTTCTAATAACAAAAGAAAACCATAGAACAAACTATTATTCTAATGATCTTCTAAAGAAATACTATCTTTCCTTTTAGAATAACTAGTGTACACAGAGAAATTAGGCTAGGCTGTTTCACCATGGAAGACCATAACTGGAACACAAGAAGCATTTCAGGAAGGAAAGGCTCAAGTCTGATACTGCTGGAATGAGCCCTCAGCCTGAGCATTTGATGTGAGCAATCGTTTACCAGTAACAAGCACACAACCACTTAGACAGATCCATTCTGCTCTGCAATTTATTTCAGGAAATGGAACTCTGCTCGTTACACCTGCTGAGCTATACGATATTCTGCCAATAAACAAGTGCTTACATTCAAGAATGCTACATTTCAGCCAAGTAATAAGCTCTGCAACTCAGACCCTCTTCTGATACAGGATTTCTGCCATGTTTTCCTGCCCTGAATCTTTTTGATTGCAAAGATTTTTGACATCCATAAACTACTGGAAATTTGGCTTTCATCTTTTTTCAAAAAACTAAGAATAAAGAAAGTAAAAAGGAAAATTATAAAATAGCTGTAAAGCTAAAGAATGAAAGGGATACCCTTCCTATTGTAAAGACAACTACATACTTATTATCTTCGTGAAAACATCTCAGTGCGGCAGACTATAGGACTTGCCTACTTTTGAGCTAGAATCTGTGATTTCTAATGCATCAAAAATCCATCTTGATTTGATTAGGATGACAAGTTGTAGCCCATTATATATCAGAACAGTTCTAGTTTCTTACACAGGTATTAGATCATCTTTCACAGTTGTCGCTATTCAGGATCAGACCCCTCTGATCTTACTTATCCTCCACTGATGAAAGAATAAATCTGACAGAATCATTTTCTTGAAATGTTATAAGTCCAAAAGACAAAAAGCTCTAGACTTGACTGAAGAACACAGAAGGGTAATACAAGTGCACTTTTCTAGCAGAAAAAACCACGAGATTGCAAGCACCCCAGTGGACTGAGATTATGAGCTGAATCAAGTGGAATCATCTTTACATGCTTTAAATTAACCTTCTCAGAACTGTCTCCACAATAATAGTGCCATAAAAATTCAAATTAACTGTAATTTCTGTATGAACAGAAAGTCTGCACTTAATATTGGTAATTTACAGCAGATATCTTGTAAATCTTTCATAGCACTCTACAACTTCATGGTAGCGTATTTCTAAGCAGTTTGAAGTCTAATCCATGAGGAGATTGCTTATCTACAAAGCCACCTGCATGTTGTAATTTCAACTATTACACTGAGAAATAGTCCACAGAATATTTTAAGAGGCTTTTCTTTAACACTGTATACAAAACCTTTTTTTTTTTTTTTTTTTTTTTAAAGTATCCATCACACAGCTTCCCTGCCCCCAACTAGCAAACTGTCCTCTGCCAAGCATAGAGGAAAAATGATTGTTTTCACAGGTTTTTATTTGCCTGTCAGATAGTTGTTCAAGTCAATTTCTTCCTTCCATACAGCAGTCTCTCTTTTTCCTCACTGTTTCTCTCTCCTCCTTCCTGTCTCACCTTGTGGATTTTTCCTCACTCCTTCCGTCCTTATGGAAGCGACCCTCTACATCCTATCTGCCCCTTTCTGAATCATCAACACATTTGGAAGAATGTTGCAGGAATACCAGCTACTTTAGGACACTGCACAAGAGAAGTAGTTAGGCTTTCTAGCACCACACAGTTGGGCAAGGTCAAACCAGTGTAACTGATATACTATGTGAATCTGGTGACCAAGATTCCCTGGGAGTACATCAACATGCTCAAAGACACTTACTAGTGTGTTAATGCACCACTATTCAGCAGCTGAATTGCCATAAATTATTATGCATGGACTCAAACCACCCAGGGGCAAGATAAAATGGTGGCTTAACACATTTTACCTTACTATTGGGAATGGTTAAAAACACAAGCACAGCCTGCTCTGCTCATCTGTGATAGATAATTAAAACATTGTAATTGACTGTCTTTGATTTAAGGTCCCTATTCAAAATTTTAAATAAAAATTGTTAAAAGCCAATTCTGAAACGTTTGTCTTTCTTAAAGAAATCCCTCAAAGATCTGATAGTACCACTGTGCTACAGATGTGTAGCATCACATAGTATCCTCTGGCATACCCCTGCAAGATGTTAAAAACAGCTTGCAAATCACTGCACATCCTGGTGCACTCCTGCACAAGCACTGACAGCATCTAGCCTGTCATGAAACAATGTTAAAAGACTACCCCTCAAAAGATACATTTTACAACAAATCTAGGATGAAACTGTGGTCTCACCCGTGTTCACCGGGAATTTTACAGCAGACTTGAAGACAGCCAGAAGTTCAATGTTACCTTTTGTTTTGAAAAGTAAAAATTGCAGGAGAGATACACACTAAGGGCAGGTGTAGTGTAGAGCAACTAACAGTTATTTTCCATGAAAAAGAGTAACTGCTTCACAGAGATACTAGAAAGACTGGGTATCTTCAACTAAAAGATGATATGGCTGAGGTGGGTACAACCAAGGACTACAAAATTGCCAAGGCAGCAGATAGAGTGAATGTCAACCTGTTATTCCACCAATACTGCAATACAAGCAATAGGGAAGACATGATGAAACAAGCTTTTCTTCACACTGAACTCAGTGAAGATCTGGAATTAGTTGTCACTGTGGAGGCATGCAGTATAAGCACATTCAGAACATTAGGCAAACTCAAGGACAATGCTGACTGAATAAAATCTGCAGAGATGCAGTCTCCAAGAGATCTAAGCCAATAATTGTGGACAGTGGCTGAATAGTATGGGAATGAGCAACAAAAAATGGTCATGAAGTCCTAACCTGAAGTTCCTATGCTACTGATGTGCTACCCCATATTGTGTTAGGTGATCCACCGGTCTGCCCAAGCAGAACATAAGATTTCTTATTATTCTCTATTTTCTCTTCAAAATAGCCAAAGAAAGGCATGTACAAAACTTGCATGCATTACACTCACTTTCTGACTTTGAACTTCGTCTGCAAAGACTTGTCCAAAATCATAGAATCACTAAGGTTGCAAAAGACCTTCAAGATCATCCAGTCCAACCATCCACCTACCAGCAATATTTCTTCACTAAACCACACCCCTCAGTGCAACACTGAAAAGTTTCTGGAACACCTTCAGGGACAGGGGCTTAATCACCTCCTTGGCTGCCTGTCCCAGCATCTAACCATTTTTCAGAGAAAAAATGTTTTCCTAGTACCCAACCTGAATCTCCCCTGGCACAACTTGAGGCCACTTCCTCTAGACCTATCACTAGTCACATAAGATAAGAGGCCAACCCCCATCTTGCTACAACCTCCTTTCAGGTAGTTTAGCACAAACACAGTCCCCCACCATCACAAATTATGCAGCTGAGTTTCCCATATTTGGGGAAATTACAGGGACCAGCACACTGGAGAGCAGGGGATGAGCCTCGTCCTGGGAAAACCACCTCCCTGATCATAGTGTCTCCCCTGCCAGGTAAGTACAATGATGTTCCACAGTAAATCCTACACACCAAAAATGGAGGAGAAGGAGATTTGGGACTGACTCAGTGCCTGTTTGACTTGGCAGCAACAAGGCTGCACAGTTATGTGGCTGGTGGCTCATTGCACAGAACAAACAGGTCACCTACTGATAACAGCAACAGTAAAGCATACTCCTTAATGGGTTTTTATGTCCTAAAAAAATCCATGTACAAACTTTTCCAGTGCACAGAAATATCAGCAAACAGCAGTGTGCAAATCCAAAGTGATGCTCAGAGCTTCAGCACCTCCAGGTATACTGTTACAAAGCAACAAAAAATTTTTTCCCCCTCCTGGGAAAATACAAACCTTACCAGGAATTTGAGTCAAATTTAGCCTGGTTTTCACAGGAGTTATATCATTTAAGCATAAGGGTTTATGTTAGACTTCATCATGGAAATACAAAGGATCCTTTCATAATGATCTATGCAAAGAAGCAAGCAGTCATGAACAAACATTTATCTTACATTTATCTTAGTATTTCTACTGCAGTTTCAAGTATTTCAGTGCAGCTAACAGGCAGAACCTAACACATGGCTTGTAAAGCTTATCTTGACAAATAACAACAGCGTAGCAGCAAACAGTCTTGATCTCCCAGGTGACACGAAGTTAAGCAACAGGAAGTTTTAGACTGAAATACTGATTTTTTTAGTGTTTCAACTTACCTTCACTGCACTGAAACAAAATGCATACAGGACAGTCAGAACCACGAAGCTTCGGGAAATGCTGTAGAGTGCAGACACTAATCCAGAAGCAGCTGAAATGCAAACATCACATGTTAATTACTTTCTTCATAAATGAATATGTATGTTCAAAAAAACCACAAAAACAGCTCTTACATCACAACGGGTGTACAAATTCATTTAGTATATTACAAAGCTGTTTGTTGAGAGAACAACTTCAGTGACCCAAATCAGCTCACAGAACTGTGTACAGCTAAAACCAAAAGCTTAACAACACTGTATTCTATGATTTTTCCATGGATCTGAGCTCCCACACTATTATTCTTTGTGCCGAACATAGCTTTGCCAAAAATATTATATATGACTCATGATGCTGCAAGAGGAGAAATGAAGTTAACAATCTGAAAATTTTCTAGTCAAGCTCCGTGTGGAATTTTCCTCATTCTCTCTGTTCTTGGGACATAGGCAGGTTCTGCTATCAGCCCAAAGCATCCCAATTTGCTTGGTCAGCTATGATTGACATATGTAGGAATGAACTTAAAGGGAGAGAAAAGAACACCATTTCATCTCTCACTACTACTACTACACTACTACTTTGAGAACTTCCAGAACCATGGCAGGAAATGCTGTCAGAATTAGGAGTTCAGCAGTTTCCACAGCAGAGACACACGGGCTGCTAAATAATGCTTTCATTAGTTTTCAGCATACGCTAGAATGATTATTGATGGGATGGGGACTTTATGCAACATTTCCTCAAGGTCTGCTTTGGTGTTTATGAAGTAAGAAGTGAAAAACACCCTTATCATTGGTATAAATTTTTACCATTCACTGAAGGCTGTTACTACAGTAGCAAGTAGAACAGTGCAATAAGTGTGGGTCTAAATGAAAAGTGCGGAGGATGTTAAATCTGTGACATGCATTTTGAGATGCTTTACTGCATTTCATGTATGTTCCCACAGATAAGCTCATTAGTGTTCGGAGTGCATTAGGTGCACCCTTACAGTATATCTTTCTTTAAAGTTTCATCCAAAAGGAATCCAGTCTGCATATCCTGACATTATCTGTCTTCTGGATCATTGGATGAAGTATGGGACAAGGAACAATGAGCTGGTTTATCTTTGTTTTTTTGTTGTTGTTTTATATTGGACTTGTCAGAAAACAGCTCTTTCATGTCAGCTATCCTCTACAGCTTATTGCTCAATTTGAATACAACTTTTCAAAAGAAAAAAAGGAAAAGGAAAACTGGTCAAGGAGGTCTGACTAGTTTAGTATCCATCTCATTGCTAAGTGAATACCATTCACTGTTTGAACAGTAAGATGCACTGTGCTTTAAAAAACAGAATAATACACTTTAATCAAAGGTGACACACTCAGAAAGTGATAGCTCAGGCTCAACATACTACTTACCAGAACCACCAAAAAGCAAGATGTCTATTTGTTCCAAAAGATATATACAGAAGGTGTTGATTTGAGGGAAAAGACCAAGAAGGGAAATTGCAGGAAAGCAATACAAAAACACTAATGAAAACAGAAAATGCATATTAGAACACAGTCATACATCATAGTAAATAGAGAACACAGAAACAGGCATAATCCTGCAATAATATATTACAATAAATTCTGAGCATTGCTCTAGTAAGGATACTTTATTTAACCCTTAGCTACAATTATTATACTTGCGTAAACAAAATGAACTGTTCTACTTTATAAGTAGCAAGTAACTCAGAGGTTAAATTTAAGATTTATTTTGGATAGCAATAAAAGAACAATACCAAAAAAAGAAAGAAACTGTTAAACCCTGTCTGTCATCTTTACATAGCATTTTTTTCCTGTATAGAACAGCTTACTCAAATGGCTGCCTTACAGTCAAGGAAAGGCAGGAGTCACAATTTGAGCATCTGTGCTGCTGGTCTTAGGTTCTGTTCATCTCCAGCCACTCCTCCACTTCTCCTAGCTCCACCTTAGAAAATGCTAAGCACAGTTGTTTAGCAAAGCACACTCTTTTAAAGCACACTGAACTGGCACCATCAACACTGAAGGATACATGTGCATGATTAATCAACTTACTGATTTATCATACTAGTACCCAAATGCTCTGCATCCTGAAGGACAAAGATGTGCCAGTCACTCTTCCTCGTAAACAACTCCGTATTTGTTAGTTTACATGCTAGGAAGGCTGCAATTTCCTCTCATTCATTCTCACAAAAAGCAAATTAAACAAATCATTAGTATAATTCATTCTCCTTCCTTCTCGAGCCAAATTTTAAGAAGGCAACAATAGGATTTGTGTTCTTTGTTGAATGCTAATTTCACATTTTATTTCTAGCTCCTCTTACTAATGCATTTTGTGCTAAAATAGAACAATATAATAAGTTTAGTCTGACAGTTACTAAATTCATTCTATTACACATTACTAGTATCTAATATTGTAAATCTTGCTGAGAAAGTCAAACACGGGAGAAGAAATGACATACTTGAGTGTTAAACATAGACAGGGCTCACATAAGTGTACTTACACTTCCAGTGCACCCTTTATCATGACTTCCTGCCACTGAAAGCAATTAAACGTATTTTGCATACATGAGAACATGAGAAACTTGCCTTCTCTCTCTCTTACATGCATTAATTAATAACATTATTAATCTTCTCTTTCTTTACTATTCTGCTCATCTTTTAGGTATTCCACCAATCCACACCAAGCCAAGCAAATACTACTCAAAGCATCAAACTCCCCAATAGGTCATATGGACTCTCCATGGGATCAAATGTCCTTCAGTGCTGGAAGCTAGTCCATCAGGCAAAGGAATTGCAGAACTGACAACTCGTCTGACTACTGGGTAACAAAGATGGTGAATCAGGGTCTGGATTGGAATTAGGAGTCCCCTGGGTGTGCTCAGTGCAGAGCAGAGGAGCTGAGGGGAGGCCCGATGGCGGCTGCAGCTCCTCACAGGGAGCGGAGGGGCAGCGCTGAGCTCTGCTCTGTGTGACAGCGGCAGGGCCCGAGGGAACGGCATGGAGCTGCGGCAGGGGAGGGGCTGTGGGGCTGGGGACAGGTGCTGCACCACAGGGCGGTGGGCACGGAACGGGCTGCACGGGGCTGTGGGCACGGCTCCAAGTGCCGGAGTTCAAGCTGTGTTTGGACATCGCTCTCAGACATAAGGTTTGGATTTCAGATGGTTCTGTAGGGAGCCAAGAACTGGGCTCCATGATCTTTGTGGGTCCATTCCAACTTGAGATATTCTAATATTCTGTAACTTACAGTCTAAATTACTGCCTTTGCTGTAGCAACCTCATAAAAGGTAAGAGCAGGTGGAGGAGGGTAAGAAAGAGACACTGTACTGTCAACATTCCAAAATAAATGATGAATCAACAAGGAGACAAAAGTTGGTTGACTACAACAATGTCCTCATCTCATTCTCTCTCTGATAATACCTTGAATAACCCTAACGACTCCTGTAGCTAAGGCAGCTTTGTTTATCTCCTCCTGAGTAAAGGAGCACACCAGAGTGTGAAATAAACAGTTGTCACTTACAAGAGGATTGAATTTCAGTGCAGTACTTTCCCTTATGGGAAGCAAACAAAAGGAGCTGATTAATCAGTTGGAATTGCATTATGATTTCTGGAAAGAACATTTAAACAGCACACATTTCCACACAGAACACCTTCAAATGCTGGACCACTAAGTGATGCTTATGTGAGTCACTGGCATTTAACACTGCAGTTTGGAGGTTTCCTGCAGTGGAGCTGCAACCAGACAAGTGCAAGAGGGAAGGCACAAGTTTTGACTTACAGAAACGCAGAACTCATTGTCAACATCACTGCAAATATCTCATAAGTTTTAAAAGAAATGGCCTTATTAAAAAGATGTATCTGAGTACCAGTCAATTTTCTGTGTGATAATACACACTGCCACAGAAAAATAAATGCTTTTTTTTTTTTTTTTTTTTTTTTTTTTTTTTTTTTTTTTTTTTGGAGAAATAGGATTGGGTCTTTGTTCCATTTTCCCCTCCTGAATGCAGCTAAGAAAACTCACACAGACTTTCTTCCCCTGTCAGAAGCTCAGTCAGTGCTGGAAACAGTGGGCAGAGGACTTGTTACCATCAAATTCTGCCATCACCTGATATTTACTCTTATGAGATTTCCACCTACCGATTTCACTCCTCTCTCCAATGCTCAAGTAGTTTCATCATAACAATCTACCATGCATTTAGCACACAATGATTTTTGCCACCGACCATACCTACAGCACTTTTGACTAAGACTGGTTCTGTCTGTGACCTTACTTGCACTGCGTATCTACTAAAAAAGTCAAGAAAGAAATTAAAGATGAAAGCCAAAGTTAGACTGAACTAAAGGCATGATCCCCCAACTAACATAAACCAATAGCAGTTTCATCACCAATTTAAAATAAAATAGAATCAGGTCCTAAATAGATGTCTTCAAAAGAACCAGACCTGTCACACATTTAATAAATTTACGCTGAGTTCCTTTTATAACCACGTCTCAAGATCATAGATCAATGTATGCTATGCATCATTACACCAGCTCTTTGATTAGTCCTGTCTATGATTTTCATCACTACCTCCTTACCGCAGTGAACACCTGAAACAGAAAACTTCTCATTTTCTCTGTGTTCTGTGGTGTACAGCCAAAATTCATTGATTTCTCAACATACTAATTCTGACTACTACAATAAATTATGATTAAATACAAATTTAAAAGTCATCATGCAATGACAAATCAACAAGCATTAAAAATAATTAGCAGATGGATAAAAAGGCAAAATAACAGCAGCATTTCACTGGTATTTTGGGCCCAACTTCCCTCCTCATTTTATTATCTGAAACAAATATTCCTATACTTTCAGTTTCTAAAGGAATCTGAACTCAAAGTGCAGCGAGAAGCTGGAGGAGCAAAGGCCTAAACAAAGCAGCACTGATTCACAAGTGCCTACTAGACAGGGCTCCCATAGAGGCAAAGCAAGAAGGAGTCAGACATCAAACACCAAATACACCTGCAGACATACCAGACCCCACAGCTGGCAAAAGTGCAATGGGAGATAAGCAAAAGGAAATGTTTTCTTCTCTCTGTTGTTAAACAGATCTCAGCTAGTGAGATGAACCCACATTTCCTCTCCCCATTCCCCTTCCAGGCTGTTTCAAGAACCTGCTCCAGGATATCTTTTGAGGCCAACCAAAATTAGCACATTTATAGCCACGCTTTTTTTTCTCCCCCTCCACCACACTAGTTGCCATAGTTTTTCATTTATCTCTATCCCAGGAGTCATTTAAGATTCTTGTTGAATTATTTATCAGCATTTTTACTGTTCACCTTTGACAGGCAGAGAAAATAAGATGTAACAAGAAACTTTAATGAGACCAAACGAAAGTAATGAAAGAAGCTAATGAAAATAAGTGAGATGCAGGTCTTCATTATTCCCCTGTTTCTGTTCAGAAGTATTGAGAGTCAATGAAGCCATATGAAGACCTTTCCTAAAATTAGTATGCCTTTCAGGCAGTAATAGCCTGACTACAGTACAGCAAAATGCAAGTCCAACAATCAGAGGTGAACAAAGACCTCAGAGGTCATCCATACTATATTACAAAGATTTTTCCTCTTATCCTGGTTAAATCCACAAACTTGAGACTAAATTTTAACTTTTCTACTTCATAATTAATAGCGTCATGTTATTTGACCTGAGTCCAGTTCAGTATTCATACCTATAATACAACAGCAGTGTCAGTTACTGACCACAAGGACATAAAAAGAAGAGTCTTGACAGAACAGGGTTTTTCTAGCCATGGCTGCCCAGATTAGTGCAAGGGATCATCAGTCTTATTTTGGAACAATACCTGGATGTCCTTAGACGTTTCAGAACACAACGCCAGAAGGAAGCAACTGCATAGTGGCTGCTCCACACTAACTCATCATCTGGGCATCAAGATTAAACTAAACCAAGAAAAACCATGTTCCTCATGAGCAGATGAATGTTCATCTGAGGGCCTGGCAGAGATTATCTTCCAAGCATTAAATTTAAAACTCAGCTTATTCTGCAGTAACTGCTCCATACAGACAAGCCCTTACAAAGATAAACTGCATTTCACAGATGATATCTTTTGCTAATAACATCAGTGACTGTTAGTTTTCTACAGAGAATTTTCTATGAGCCTCATTTCATTAAGAGCACTTTTTACATGAGGGAAAGTTGCCAAATCTTCCCCCCTCTCATGTGTCTTTAGTCATTCCAAATGTTTCTATCAATTTGACTCAGAGTTGCACCTCCATAACATGCATTTGATTGCCAACGTGGGAAAACACAGACTTCCCCAGCTGACACTTAATTCATTTTTACAGTCTTAGGAAAAATATTGACTCACCTATTATATGGTCTCTGGCTGACTGGAGAAATCTAGGAGAAAAAAGCTTCAAGCCATACATTGTATAAACTGAAGGATTTGTGTCTTTAGATCCAGCATCTAGCAGCAAAATAAGGCCACATAATAGGCAAAAATAAACAGGTCTGCTGTAGGTTATGATTTTATTGTGCCCCTGGAAAAAAAAAAAGAAAAAAGTATTTGAATTTTGTATTCATTCTCCTACTGTGCATATTGTATTAAATCGCAGAGAGGTTCAGGAGTCATACAAAAAGTTTTAATGACTTACATGCACTAATTAATAATAAAAATATTACAAGGCATTTTTATCTTCTCCAGAGGAGTCTTTCAAAAAGTACAAAAAGCATTTCAGATTAATGCCAGCAATCATTTATGATTTTGAAAATCTAACCTTTGGGACCTTTCAAAACTAATCACAAAAGTAGTCATTTGCTGAGGAGAAAAAACATCCCCATCTGTCTGAATCTTATACATAAACAGAACTTATTTTAATGACTGTCTGTTTCAGGTAGCTTGAATTTTATTTATTTGTTTATAACTTCTTGAAATACAATTGCAACCTGGGAAGAAAAAAATTAAAAAAAAAGAAAAAGGAAAAGGTCTGAGCCTACTTAACATCATCCAATTTCTTCTCCTGATGCCACAGCATTTTACCAGACACCATGGAGATGGCAGGTAATGTGCAGCAACACTATGTGTTGTCACCATCCACAAAACTGACAGCAGACATCACTACAAGACCAGAGAATGGCATCTTTTCAAAGAGGATCCTTTATCCCAGCAAGGATAAAAATAGATTTTAAAAGGATCAATCATCATTAGCAACAAAATTCTGGAGACTGCCCATCATCTGCAGACACAGGAAAACACCACAAGCATTTAGAAACACAAATCTTAAAGCAACAACCAACTTGGACTTTTGCCCAAACACACTCTGAAAGGAAAACGTGTTAAAAAGACATCTTGCTCCTTTGAACAGTCATAGTCTCCTGTCTGTAAAGCCATTTCTCATGACTACTGATTCTTTTCACTGCTGCCTTTTGCTCCTCCTTCACCTCCCCCCGGGTAGATTTGTTTTGTAAAACAGGGCAATGCTACAGGTGATTCAGCAGGTGAAACCTGTTTTTTCTTAATTTCCATCAAACAGTTGCAACACAATGCTTTCAAAGGCACCACATTCATTTACAGAAACTGGCTAAATATAGTTCAAGATGCAAGACAGACAAAGTTAGGAGAGTTGCTACAGCACTTTTCAACAGGTGTCTGGTAACTCTGCTTTAGCTCCATTGTGCTCAGGTGAAACGCAGCTGGTTGCCATCCTCATAGAACTGCAGCATGAACATATAACAAGGCAATGGCTTTACAATAGTAAATGTTTCTACCTTCCCACTTCATCCCTAAAACAGGATCATGTTCATCTGTCTGCTGCTTTGAAAAAAAATGGACTTTATGGCAACACCTTTCCTTACACTGCAAAAGGATGCAGAATGCTTTTGTGTGTGGATGTATATAGTACTAAGCATCTACAAAATTCCTGGTATATTAAGTGATTCCTGTTGGCCACCTGTGTCCCCAGTGTCATTTTGTCTACAAAAAGGAAGCAAGATAAGGCTTCTGCTGAAAAGAGGCCTTTGGGGTAAAAGAAAGCAAAAAGACATCTTGTACCAACACAACTCAATTTTTCTCATTGATTTGAAACATTTGACAGCAAAGCAGCGTCCCTCCTGGAAAAGGTGACATTCTATAGCTGTTTCTGGCTTCTCTTTCCCAAACAAGGAAGGATCCTTATCTTACACTTCCATATGTGTCCCTAGTATACGAAGTTCGAAGTAATCCTACAGAAAATTGCTGTGGGGTCACGGGCCAGAGAGAATAACAAACACTTAAAAATCTTAATAGCTCTTCCAGTAGCAAACTTTAGAGTACAGAAGACATCCAGGACATCTGCGAGTGAAAAGATTTCTTCAGTGTGAAAAGCCAGGAGCAAACTGACAAGAATTCAGGTTTATTTTGCAAAAGAAAAGTTGTTTCTGAAATGCAATTTTAAGTGAGTGTAATAAAAGATCATTGGTGGGAGTTTTTTGTGCCTACTCACTGATTTGAAACAGCAACTGTATTTTGTTTGGCTGCCAGCCAACCTCATATGTTAGCATGGCTATTAACTGATCTACACACTCTTTTGGATCAATCAGTTAACATAGTGGCAGATCGCAGGGAACTAGCATGCTTACATTGCACCTCACATTCATGGAATGTAAATCAAGTCAAAACTGACAAATCCTAGCTGGTGATTAATCTGAGTTTCATTGTTACTAAAGGCAGGAGAGTGTATGTAGGCTTTGTTATGAATAGGACAAACATCCATGAAAAACATCAGAGGACAGTTAGAAAGAAAAATCTGACTTAAAAAAAAAAAAATGCTTGAAATACTACAATCTGGCTATTTTTAACCGTCAGTTCATTTATCTTAAATGCAATCTGTGCCTTAGGAAAAGAAACGAGTAAATACAGCAACCAAATGATTGATATTTATATCCTGACCCACACACTGCAGAACAAAGACTTCTGTTGTAATGTTACTTTTTTTTTTTTTTTTTTTTTTAAACTTACAAAACCAGATTTTACCTTTGCATGGTAATTATTTGGAGGCAGATAGGTAAGATGGAAACAACAAACAGGAGTCCAGAGTCTCAGCATCTCATCTTTCCATTCTAAGAAGAGCACTGACATAATTATGTTTATAGTCAGTGTTTAACTCTTCCTGCTAAACAGATCACGCTTACCACGCTGGAAAGAACAACGCTAGTCAGGACTTGGGAAAGAAGCTAAGAAGCATTGAAAGGCTACCTGAACAACCTGCAGAATGTGAGCAAATACTACCTTCTCTATTCTTTTCAAGTGGCACTGGGGAGCGAGTCAGAATATTGAAATAGAACTAGTGTCTAATCTTGGATCAACAGGAGCAAACCATGAGCAGTGACATATTGGGAAGGATACTGGCTGCATAGCTTGTCAAATTTTCACATACAGAACTGAACTCCATCTTAGTGAATCTTCTCTGCCCTGCATCCTCCTTCACAAGAATTCAATCAGTAAATCTGGATTAATCTTTTATTTTAGGTCTAACTTTCAAGCAACCATTTTTTATGAACTAAAAAAATTATCAGAGAAAATTCCTGCTTCCCCTTAATATTGCCAAAGAAAGTTCACTGAATTTTTCAAGTTTGTATTTCTTAATTTAGAAATATTACAAACAGCACTGATGCATCTCATGTTTTGATAACATGAAGATTTTCAACAAAGTAATGCTTCAAGTGTTTGTGAAACCCTAGTAAAACACCTATTACTGCAAAGCATTTGTATGGGGGTCAAATTCAGGATATTTAATGAATTTTTTGCTCGTGCGCATATTTGCAAGAAGAAAGACAGAAAGCTTTATGGAAAAGTTTGTGTGCTCAGTTCTACCAGAACAGTACACAGGAAGAAATTAAAATTAGTTTTTCTAAATCCCATGAAGTACTTTAAACTGACTGTGGTAGTTCCCCCGCTTAACGTTATCTGGCTGCTTTGGCGGGTAATGGGACAGAGACATTGTAACATAATGTAGTTACAGTAGCGATTTATTAAATCTTCTTACTCTTTTACTCAAGAGTATGATTGCAATTCTTCAAATGCCTTTGTAAACCTGAACTAGATCCTAAGCCATTCACCTGTCTTAGAGGGACTTGCAGACAAGCTCTCATGATTCTTTTCTATAGCACATTTGCTGCAGGTACAATCTTTACTGGCTGATCTGCTGCTGCTAAACACCACCAAGAAAACTTGCAGTTATCAAAGCCACTTGAAATACATCCTGAAGGGATCTCTTACATATCAGAATATCCTACAGTCATTGGTGTCTCTCTTATGTTATGTTGTTAATAAACTGATAAAACTCACATTTGAAATGGACTTCACATAATGCTCCCCACCATGCCAATGAGGAGGCTGTTCCATACTTTTAACATCCCAGAAACACGTGCCTATATGAAGAGAACTCTAAAGGCCACCAGCTCCTAGCAAACCGGGTCTCAAAAGGCTAAATCACAGGGTGACAAAAAAGTCATGCTCTGATTTTGTAGCAGGAAACAGTCTTAAACCTGCTGATAGGATAAATACTTGCTGGTAGCAAGTATTATCTGTAAGACTGGTGCTGCAGAGCATAGCGAGTTCCAACTTCACCACCAAGGATGATCAAAAAGAAACATTACCACAATTCAATAAAACATACATAAGTGAATAAAAAATCCAAAGTTTTAGCTGACTTAAGATTTAATTTCTTACCCCATACAGTATAGGGTTACAGCTAGGATCTCTCATTCAAATACTACGTACTGTCTAAATGCAGTCATAGATTCAATCAAGGTTGGAAAAAACCTCCAAGATCATCCAGTCAAACCATCCACTTGCCACCAATATTTCCCCAGTATTTTAGATGCTAATACAACAACATTTTTCTATTTTATTATTATTATTTTTTTTAACATCTCCAAGGACAGTGACTCAACCACGTGAAGTCATCATGGTGAGTTCCAAGTTTCAGTACATAGGGAAGAACCCACCTCCAATAAAATTATACCGGACTTCAGGTATTACGGTTCAGTCAACAACCACTACCTCTACAGCATAGAGCAGGAAGTAAATATACTAGCACTTGGAAGGAGTTTTGAGCAAAAGTTTTACGCATTCCTGGGCACTGTTTCCTGAATTCGGTGGATGATCTTCTAAAATAGAACCTCTCAAAATGGTATAGGCTAGAGATGACAAAGTTCCACCAAGAAGTAGCGAAGCCTGCTTGTGAGAGAGTCCGGAACATCTTCAGCATGCTTGGATAATGTAAGGCATTAAAGGCTACTCATAAATCCAAGAACAGAAATTAATTCATTGTGCAAATCTGTAGCTGCCAATGGTTCATTTCACACTGAAAAGTCTCATCTGCATTTTCATTCATGGACATGGTACTGCTCATTCATTAATCACCCTGCTCTTCTGCATCCTTATATAACATCAAGAGAGGTTGTACTCTTTAGTTTTAATGTAGTCAATATGTATTATGAAATAGTATGTCTTATTTTTTGTGGTGCTTAGTAGCTTAAAGAAGCATTTACAAATACCTATTTTGTTTTATACTAAGAGGTAAGATACAAGGCAGAGATAGAGATACAAGGCAGAGATAGCTAATCTATTTTGATTTCATCTTTGTTGCAGTTGCTATTACAGCTAGAAAGATTATCATGGTGAAAATGGGAAAAGAAACAAACAAGGAAGGAATGCTCACCTGTATCCAAAGATCTAGGTTCACAGGAAAGACTCCACAGAGGAGGGATCTCCAGAAAGAGATCCTTCCCCAGTGGCAATCAGCCCTTAAATGGGGTCTAGGACCTGTGACCCCTTCCAGTCACACAGCTGAATTGCCTTCACTTGTGCTCCCATGGCTGACTCAGTCCTTTCCTCAGGTGATCAGCCAGTGGTTCAGGCTCTGACTCAACAGTACCCCCTCTCCATGATAAATTTTAGAAAAGCATTGGGAAGATGTAAACACCTATTGTTACTTCGCTGTACTGCTTGCTGTATGATAAACAGAATCCAATGTGGTGAATAATACTTGTCATGGAATCACAGAATGGCCAGGGTTGGAAAGGACCTCAAGGATCACGAATCTCCAACCCCTCCGCCACATGCAGGGCCACCAACCTCCCCATTTAATACTAGACCAGGCTGCCCAGGGCCCCATCCAGTCTGGCCTTGAACACCTCCAGACACGGGGCATCCACAACCTCTCTGGGCAGCCTGTTCCAGCACCTCACCACTCTCTCTGTAAAGAGTTTCCCCTGACATCCAACCTAAACCTCCCCTCCCTCAACTTAAAACCATTTCTTGTAACACTACTGTTGTTCAAGTCTGAAACACAAACCCAGATCCTGCTCAAAAAATGTTTTAACTTCAGTAGTTAGTTTGCCTTTAATACAATTAAAAATATGGGCTAAGAATATTTATAATGAAGCTTTGATTAAAAGTTTGCCGCTCAGTTTAAATAAGCGCGCATGTTACTAGTGTCTGTGAATTATAAACTATTTGATTATGGTTCACGTGATGTCTAAACACATCGCAGCTGAATTGACTAATTGATTTTAATCACCCAAAAAAAGCAACTTTACACTAAGGTAGGAATATTTACATTCATTTAAAATACTGCAGGATAATGTATGAATTGAATCTGTAAATGAAGCTGCTGTTCACTAGCCTTCCCTACTTTTTATGCAGTCTTGACTATCCTGTGGATATATTATAAATGACAATACCTTAAGATCACCCTATAATAACTGACATAGAAAAGAAGAATCCACTGAAATCCATCTTAGTGCAATGTACAGTGTACACTTATAAATAAACTCAATTTCAAGTTCAGCCTGTATTTCCAGCCTCAAAACTGACAAAAGTAATTACTCCCTACCAAAGCAAAATAATCAAACAGACCTGCAGTTTTAAACATGCTGTTCTGGAGCCTTGAGGGAAGAGGGGGGGTTCTTCAAAAACTTGCAAGGAATAATAAACAAACAAAGGAGCATCTGGACAGAAGATGTAAAAGCAAGCAAGGGACCATATCACCCCTGGAATGTGTCACAACACCAGCAAATCAAAAGTGCTGAGACAGTGACAGACGTAGGGGTCAGTTCACAGTTAAACACTGATGATCTTAAACCAGTCTTATAATGGAGATAGGAACAAGCTCTTTGAAGAGAGATGGCAGAGTTCAGCTTCTCAGAATATACAGATCTTTATCTATATACAGATCCTTATAACGTGCGTTCATTCACCGAGTTGGTCATTTCTTCAGGACACAGGCACTGAAGTAATGACATATAACAAACAAGAATCTATGCCATTTGACGAGCTAAATCACATTACTAGGAAATACAGAAGCAATAACAGATAAAAATAAATCAAAATAATTATATTTTTTCAAAAAAAAAAAACTTGCTAATCTCAAGTCCCAGCTGACCATGCTGTTAATCTAGAACTTCTTCTGCATTCAGCCCATTTCCCAAGGAAAGCAAAGAAAATGCTGGTCTAATGCCACAATATTTAATTTCAGTAAATTGGTCCAGATGCATTGTTTTAATTGAGTACTTCAGCTCAAAGAGAAAGCACTTTTCTAAGAGCAGTATCAAATTCAGTAATTTAAAATTAAGACAGCATCATTTTCATAAATCATCTAGAACAATGAACTAGTTAATCCTCAGTTTCACAGACTAGCTAACTGTTGTTACACAGTACAAAAGTGACAACAAAGGAGAAAGACTTGTTCTTCTAGCCAACACTTACATGTATTGGTGAAGCAGGATCAGGCTGGACACTCTGAAAATAAAACAGAAAGAAGTTTACATACAGGGACTTGTCTTCACAGAAGTTAGAAGACAATTCAGCATTTGGATACAAACTTGTTTCCTACCTTTAGGAGAGAATACTGGCAACTGGCCATAACGAGACAGAACAACAGAACCCAAATGTCTTTGCAAAAGCCTTGGTTTAGAGTCAGGAATCCAAGAAGTGAAACGAGAACTACTAGGAGAATAGAAAGTACATTCTCCTTTATATCCTCTGTCCTGTGTGAATAATAATAATAAAAATATTTATGTAGTTGTTACAGCAATGCAGATTCATTTGCAGCTGGTATAAACAATCAGTGCTGGAGCAATCAGAATTTCAAGGACCTGAGATTTTAGTCCTGAAACTACATATCCATGTTTAACATACCTCGCTCCCCTGCCAAAAACCTTAGACATTGTGACAGCCAAAACCTACAAATAAAAAGCATAGTCTATGCTGGGCTTCAGTGCTTATCTGCACCCTTCAATCTCTCTTCCCAAATAGGATTCCACAGTAGAAGCGATTTGTACGTATGCAAGTGCATCACTATAAAAGAAAATATTTAAATAAGGAAATAAAACATTCATTTAATGAACATCTGACAACAAAGAATTAAATGAACGACCACATTCACCATGCTATGTTTTATTTCTTTTATCTGCTCCATTAGAACACAGAAGCCGAGGGAGAAAAATGTTAATATTCAGGATATAAAAAAGATGATCAGTAAACATTTTCTGTGCAATTAAGAAAAAAAAAGCACCTGCTCTGAACCTAAGATCCCTGACTATAAGTCTGATTTCTTCAAAGTGTAAAAGTTGTCCTCTGAAATTTCTACTGTGGAGCTTATATTAGCATATAATGTGAGTGTAACACATATCCAAAAGGAACGACCAAATAGCAATAAGAGAGTGAGAACTATGAGGAATGCAAGCTAACATATCTAACATGTTGAAGTAGTCAGATTGCCACACGAGGTCTAACTGCAAAGGGTACTGCCAGAAGAGCTGATGCTGAATGAAACTGAGGGACTGCAAGAAGAAGAGATGCCAAGACAAGAATTTTTCTCTAAACAAATAAAACCATACCAGAACAGAGGGAGTGGCTGAAAGATCCCCTTCTGAATATCATCTATAATTTTTCATGTATTTTTTTAAAGACTGCAGTACTTGACTTACAAGAGCCTGGCACTTCTGTATTTTTGACCAACGTATTGACTTTTTTCATCAGAAAGCTTAAAACCACTGGATCTGACAGCTAAGCATCAAATTTAAGGACTGTTCCACAAGACTGGTGCTCACACAAACCCAAGTCACTCTGGAAAATTAAGGGCAGTGAAAAACACCAAAAATATCCTAAAGGAAAATATTTTCTTCTACTTAGAACAAACAAGTATCTGTCTGTTCAACTTGAATACGACACTAATACAACGTTTGCTTCTTTCTTCTCAAGTGGCCTCCTCTGTTCAGCAGATAGAAAGGGATGCACACTGCACAGCAGGTAGAGTTGGATGCAGAAAGCTTACCGGTCCAGCAGTGCCAACAAGGTCAGCCGATCGTACCAGACTTTAATCCATTTACCAGGGAATATGATAAATCGGTAAAACTGCCTGTTCAATTTCCGCTGTGCTGAAGAACATGAAGAATCTTCAGGTTCCTGACTGGGTTGCTTTAAAAACAAACAAACCAGAAATGCGCAAAATATTCTTCTGCACTGGTATATGGCTGCCAGCAGTACAGGTATTTGAAGGGCTAAATTTACATTAAGTTTCAGAATTGTTTTTCCCAAACAGGAATAACCAGAATGTATTTATCTTCACTATGTAGGTTGCACTGGAAATAATGCCTCCTATCTCAGGGAAACTAGAACAATACCTAATATATTAGCATTTCTATTATCACTTTAAAAAGTTGCTGAACTACATTCTTTAAGCAAAAATTTACTTCAAAAGATTACACTTGCTAATCCTGGCACAGTTTCGTTCCTCTTGGGTTCTCTGTCCTACCAGAAAGTAACATGAAATTCAATCAACTGCAATAATTAGCTCCATCTTCCTAACAAAAATTGTTCGCTGTAATAACTAAAAAAAGAAAAAAGAATACTGGTAAAAGAGTCCATTAAAAAGATCTGAAGATCTGATTATTCACTCCTGAGAACATTTTAACATCTATTTAACTGAGTGTCCAAGTGAGCATTTTGGCTCCAGAGGAACTGTAATATTTGGATAAAGTTGATTACACAAGGCTTGCACAAGGCTGTAGTCAGATTTTTGAGATCTATTTGGGAAACTCTCAGCAGTCCTAAGCTACTTACCAAGTGTAACAGTACTTCATATATTTAAAAAAAAAGAGGGGTGGGGGGTATAAACCTTCACTTTGTAAATTTATATTGTGGCAGAGACAGCCTGAAAATCTAAGTTCACTGAAGTCCATGACAAAACTCCTGACTTACTAAGGCTTAGGATTTCATGTTCAATAATAAATCAGAGAACAGGAAGTTCTGAAGTTACTGCCTGCCCTTGTTATGAACTTGCCACATAAGCCTGAGCAACATGCCTTACTTCTTTCTTAATGATGCAGTTTTCCTAGAAGTAAGAGTGATAATGGTTCTCTAATTTATGAGCAATTTACAAGATTAAAAATATTTGGAAAACATTTGAGCTTTTAGATAGAAGTCTATGACCAAATCCGAAACATATTTGTAACAAACAAGGACAATTAACAGACTTTTAACTTAAAACAATTTCTCTATACGATTTGCTTTCAGCTTAAAGTTTCTGTTCAAAATCCAAGAAGTAAGATAATTAACTGACATTTTAAGGTTAAACATAAATATCAAAGTAGAACTTGCCATGGAGAAAAAGATAAGGTTAACGTTATTATAAAGGGAACTGTCAAAGCAATATTACACCCTCAAGCCATTGGTCCAAGAGCCCAAATATAGTAAAGTTCAAACATGACCACATGTTACCATCTTAAAAGAACTCTGAGGGCTTTTTTCTTTTATCAGCTGCATTGAGAGATGTGGCTTTGACATTCCACAATAGACATCCAGAAGCCTGGTTGCCTGATTCAGAAAAGGGAAACCAGACATAAGGTTTTAGGATACTACTGAATCCAAAGAAAATGTAATATTATTAAAATGTGGTGGTGCATCTAAAATCATAACAGCTACATGCTCTTCCAATGAAATTAGATAGAAGATCAGCTTCTTTAGGTAATGGAGTCTAGCACAGACCACAAAACTGTATTTTGCAGAGCAGTTTCTCACTTGTGCAGTTCTTTTCTGCAAAGAGCCCCTTCAAGTCAGTAACACCTATCTTCTCCTAGACTCTCCTCAGTATCAGTAGAAAACATCTGAATTGCATCTATCAGCATAAAATAAATCTAAATAACTGAGCAGTACTGGACAAAAAAAAGCACAATAAATCAACAAAATTGTCTTAGCAACAAGGCTGCAGCATTTGTTTGTATAATAGTTTATCAAAATGCTAGAAACTGAGATATTACAATATACCCGTGGGGTTTCTGAGAGGGTCCTTCGTGCCACCATTAGAAGGAGCTGCTGCTGCAGAGCACTTGCTGCCTGATCCCCAGAAGATGGTTCCTGGCTCTCTGAAGTGGTGGTACTAGAAGAACTGAACTGTATCTCACTGCATACAGAGGGGAGAAAGGAATGAGACTGTGTTAGAAAGCAGCATCTTCGTAGTAATCCTGAAACATCACAGGAGGAAGACAGGCTGGCTTACAGGACAAGGAGCCTCCCAACTTCATACCTGAAACCTAGTTCAGGCCCACAAAGCAGTTAGCATGCAAATGTAGATACACGGTATACTATCCTCTGTAGAGAAATGGGCACTTCCATATCATGGTTTTTCTCATCCCAAGATGAATACCTAGAATGAATTCCACTTCTGAAGTGCATTTTGCTGTTCACTGGCAATTCAGAAAGTCTTATTGTACACTGAGATTTGAGTGTCAGAACAATAAGCATTTAGAGTCACCTGATGTGACTCCTAGTCCAAGAGTTGTTTTCAGAAATATCAGTGTGGCACATTTCCAGACCAGTAATACTGAATTAAATTTCTGGAAGAAAAACATCATCTCTTTTTTTCTAGTTGTCTCTATGCATCTCCACTTCTCACAAGCACACTGCTGTAAGTATCAATAATAGATTATCTATGACAGTTTCCCTCTTGTTTACCTTCTCCTATAACTCAGGTCAAAAGCTGCATATCCACAGTGCAAAACTACATGGTAACTCCTCTGGAGATACTTTAAAATGAGCTTTAAACCAAATTCATTTAGCTACCTACCAAACTCATCTAGCCTCAGCAGCACAGAATTTGATAAGTATTAATTTACCCCACTGAGTATTCAGGCTATAAGAAACTTCCTTCTGCCTTCACAAGATGACAATACATTAATCAATCATTCATAAAAGGCTAATATAGATAACCTGGTATTGAGGTCTAAACTCAATCTAGGAGAACAACAAACAAGATGATTTCCCACCATGCCACATGTTTACTGCTTTATGCTTAAATACTTTATCCTCTGCAGTTACAGCAGCAATACCTTCTGTGTTGCAAAAATGGTTAGTTACTATCACCTCATCCAAGGCAGTCAGTACCAACTGTTCCTGTCTTCCGCAAAAGAAAGACAAGCAGGAAAAAACTTAAGTCATTTGCCTCTGTTCACCCAAGAAGCCTGTGCCAGAACAAAAAATAAACTCATCTTGCACACCCTATATGATTGTTCCCATGCCACCTCAGGAGCTTTACAGTTGTGACTGTCCCGTACAAAAGAGGCTGTTAAATTAAACTGCAATGGCTATTGATACAACAGGATGAGTTTCAATGTCTGGATCACTAAGAAGCAGGGCTGAAGTATCAGACCAACAGCCTAAAACAAACACTGTATCCTTCTCACCACTAGGACTTGCTATCTCCACCCAGACCAACAGGAATACCAGCAGCACCAGGATATCACTACAGAAGCCATCCTGCCTTTGGCCTCCAGACATGTTAATCTAGTTTTCTTAACACCTTGACTCATGTCAGGTTTGGGTACCATCTACCACTCCAGCTGAGTTATCAGATGAGCACAAATGAAAGTGCCCCACTGTCCTGACCCCAATGGCTTCCCCTGTACTCCCCAATCCACCTGCTACAAGTAGAGAAAGATCTGTTCCATATAGTGTCACATGCTCTTTGGACAGTACTAGGAAATGAGGGCTAGGCCCAACATGATCAACTGATGGCCCAGCCATGAGGCAGCTCTCCATAAGAACACATCTGCTTTGTGGGTCGTATACAGCACCCACAAGCAGTCAATAGCCATTGACACCCACAAGTAGTCAATAGCAATAAACCATACAGAAGTGATGGGAAACAATCCACAGTCCTAGGTCTCAAACAACTGATTCAAGTAGGCAGAAAGGGAAGCATAAAGGCATGCCTCCCAGGAAGGAAGTTCCTCAAAACAACTAGCCATAGATACAGACTACAGAGGATATCCGGACTTTTCCCATGTTCTGAAGCAACCTACCCAAGAGTGACTTTGTTCAGCATGAAAGAAGGCCATGGACTTCTTTGTTTTGCTAGGATGAATGTCCCATTTCTTGTTGTTGTGAGAATGACCCTGGCATTGCCTTCTTATAGGAGGAAAAAGCAAAACATAGCTCAGGGTATGCAGAAGCTCTGCATTGGGAATTCCTGCTCAAAATGTGACCCAAAACATAGTAAGGAAATAGAACAGTGTTTATTCATTTCTTCTTAAAAGAAGAGTTAATCTTCAATAAATTTCTGTGCCCTTAGCTGTCTTTCTACAAAAGCTAAATAGAGTTGAGAGTATTTCTAAATTGAACCATGTCTTTTATCTGTTTCCCAAGAATGGAACTGGGAGAATGATGGATAGATAGGCCAAGATACTCCCCTTGCACACTCTTCTATTAGTTCTAGGAAATCAAAATAATTTTAAGAATAAGAGTTCTTCCAAGAATAAATTTAGAGAACAAATTCTCTCCCATCAGACTTGAAGATAACTGAAAAGCCCAGAAAGTCCAAATTCTTGCTTCTGTTTGCTTTCAGCGGCAGAATTTACAGCTCCATCTACCAGCAACTGGCAGAAAAGGTTGCAAACAGCTAGGACACTGTGGGGAAAATGCTGGAAATTTTATGCACCTGGCAAGGCAATCAGGGCACAGGAAATAGAAAGGCAGAGCTAGCAAAGCAACAGTTCCCAAAACAGGATTGTCACCTGGCCTCTACCTGATTCCCATGCCTTTTATTTATACAACCTTATATCTCTGCATCCCTTATTATTCTTTCCTCATCTTCTGTTCCCCTCAGCTCTTTATTTGCTATTTTTCCTCCATACTCCTATTTTCCATACAATCTCCTTCTCATGTTCACCTGCCACCTCCCTGATGCTGAATGTCATGATGACATTATCACGCTGAAAGTAAATATCAGTAAGAAATGTGCTGGCAGTGTTTGTGTTTTTGTAAGCTTACAAACAAAATTCCATAAATTTATTACCATACATAAGTAGGAGCAAACCCTCTCTAATAATAAAATCATCACAACAGAGCACACTGTAACATGGAATCTTACTAAGTAGAAAATCTGTTCATTTGTGGAATGAAATTAATGCTATCCAGATTTACTACAGTAAACCATACTGTAATGTAAGCGAAGGTATAATTGAACTACATTTTGAATAATAAACTAATAACTAAAAATATATTTGGTAAACATACAACCTACGCACAACGAATGCAAAAGATTCACAGCACCCTCTACTGATAAGCGGTCACAAAGCCAAGATTTTTTTCCCTGGCCATAGGTTTTTTTTTTTGTTTTTTTGTTTTTCTTTTTTCTTTTTTGAGAACATCATTGGAAGTACAACATTGAAAGTATTTTAACACAACTACACAAAACTGGAAAAAAAATCTCCCTTCTCCCTCTCTGGTTACGGTTTGATGGGACGTATGTATATATGCCTTATACAGCTGACAGCTTTGCTCAAACAATTGAAATATAACCCAGTCTAAGTCAAATCCTTTGTTAAGGATTAGCTGGCCTGAATTCTGAATACCTTTTAAAGTAAGCTCATTATAAAGGCATGCCGCAAAATTATAACAGATTCCCAGGCCAATAAAGTTGTTCTGCAGGGCTTGGCTAAATTTTACTTTAGCCTGTATTTAGGAGAAAGTTAAATTGTGGTAGGCAACCTTGTAAACAAGGTCACAACAGTAGCAGTACAGAAAAGCTTCCGTCTTGAGCTCAAAACAAGAAAGCACCCATCCCATTCTTAGGCAGCTATCTGGGTTACGAAATGCAACAATATGCAACACAAATATCCACAGCTGTAATAATATGTCATCATATAGCTGAAACCTATTTGTAATACTCACTGAAACCCCATTCTTAAGTCAAACAGCTCTGGCTGTGAACTTGAGTGAAGCTCAGAGGTTGCCCATCTAACAATTACCTCCAAGGCATTAGTCTGAGGTGCATTCAAAATTGAACTGATACCCAAGCAATCTGGTTGTACAAGATCCATCTAGCACTAACAACATAATGGGAACTCCAAAAGCCCTAGCTGCGTCCTTTCAAAACGGTCAATTTCTGGTAGAAACACTGCTGCCTGAAGTGACACTGAAGTACAGGATCAATAGCAGTCCACAGCTCCCTGATAGCACCTCCATTACTCAATCACATTTCTGAGGTCTTCCTACCACCATTACACCTCAGCAGTTTTACTTCTCACCTAAAACGCCTCCCCTGCCGTTTCATTCTCTCGTCATAATTAAACCTAACCACCACGCAGACCTCTTGCTATACATCCAGTCACCACTCACTTGTCTCCACTGCAGAACTGTCAGCATGAACCTGACCAGATCACCATGCAACCAGGCACTGAGGCAAACCCACTGGCTGTGGAAACAGCCTTTTTAAGCAGATGATGACTTACAGCTACCAGCTGTACCATTAAATAGAACGACTTGAAAACCAGAAAGCAATCCAAATTACATAAGAAAATTGAAATATGCAAAAGTGAGAGCAGCGTTAAGGCTGAATGATTATGTGACATACCCAATCAGAGCAAATATGGTAAAACTGAAGAGGCAATCTGCACTTATTTTGGTAAGAAATCAACAGTCTCAAAGAGAATAAAGTTCATTCTGAATGCATAATTTAACTTCCCTTAATGGCTACTGCTGAGGGGAGTGCAAACTAAAGATGATACTTCTCCTAATCTGTTCACAATTTGCTACTTATACAACAGGATTTAGGAAGGTTTTTTTGGCATCTGTTTAGAAACAAAGAATAATACCATCCCTAACAACAACAAGGTAGTGGACTCAAGCTTATAGAATGGGAGAGCTGGATGCAGTGACTTACCAACATGACAGAAAATGATAAGACCCCCGTTTTGGAATGGTCTACAGAATGAACAGCAGAACATACTATGTTCATTAAGAGAGATACTACAGAGAGAAGCCTTGCAGTGCAAGGTTATCACAGGCACTGCAGGCAGTATGAATACTACACGTCACATGCACTTCTTTATGTAGGTGTAGGAATGGGATCCACCTGGTTCACCCTTGCCTCTTTGTATTCACATATACATATATTTAATCTTA